CAATTGGGTCAACTAAATTAACTAAATCTGCCAAACCAACTTAATAAATAGTTTATCCTTCTTAGACGTGTCAGTGAATACAATTGTGTTCGTCTGGACCATTATAAGAATATTTGGCAGACCTGCTGTCAAATGTAAACATTTGAAAATAGTAAGCTGACAATAATTCAGGCGCTTAACTTGTTATAAGTGGTCATATCTTTAAGTTGAAACGCACGCGTGTCCTGCGTTAAACAGTCAGTGGCATGCAAGTTTTTTTTGTGATTCTTTAAGCATGATTCGCAAATTGAGCTACTGATATATTTTGCTACATTTTATTATCTTTAGTAATGTTCCTACTTATCGCAATCTAGGAGAATGCATATACATCACTGTATAGAACTGGACTTTCAAAAAGCCATGAAATGCGGTTAGGTAGTGCCGTAGAATGGTAAGAACTGTAAGAGGTGGGCAGTGCACCATATTTAGCCTCTAGTTAGCCCGAAGTAATTTTATTGTCTTTCTGTTTACTTTGTTACTACCACTTAAATTGGTTTGCGTTATCTCATCGAGAATAGAAAATACGGTAAACAGTTTGTGGATTTCTCTACTGTGAGGATGCGCAGCTAACGAGTTGCTAAAATGTACAAGAAGATTTACACGGCTGGAGAACGATTTTCCTTTATTCATCGTCTCAAAATTACAGTAAAGCCCATAACACTGAGTTTATTCCGTGAATATTTTATAATTTAACCTACCGTCAAATCATCCCATTTAGCAACACTTAATTAGTTAAGAACTGCCTAATTTATACATATAGTTGGCAGTCGTAAGAATGTGTTTTAGTTAGGTGGATATCTTGGCTATTGACACCGGGGGTGGCGGGAGATATTTCAGAGTGGCGCCACTTTAGCATGGTAGGTGTTGAAAGATGCATAAAATGGAAGAATAAACAAGAAAAGGATGTATTTCCATAGACTACATATCTGATAATCAGTGTCTGCGTGCAGGTGACAATCCATCAGGCCTCCTCAAGTGGAAACGACAGCTGTGCCTGACATAGCGTATGGGACTTTTCAAATCCCCTCCACACTTCGCCATAAATCGACAAACGCGATACCTAAACAGAACAAATGTAGCACTTTAGTATTTTGAGAGAACAAGGAAATATACAAAATGCATTCTGTGAAATTACATAAATGAGGGTTCATTTCTAAGTGAAATGCAGTGCAACTGACCCCCTAAGCATGCACTTATGTAAACGAAAGCACTTGCCACTAAACATCGAAACAAAAAAGGCGGCAGCTTTCTCTTTCGACTTAGTTCACAAAACAAAACTCCGTTGAAGAATGTGAAATGATGAATATACGCCTAAGTCAGCCTTTTAATTTATACCACTTGGAAAAAATGTCCAGTCCGCGCTTACTCAGATAGGTAACAGAAACATTGGCCGCCAACCCTAAATACCCCTGCGGCTAGTCCTGTGGTTTCTTTTACATTTGGTTTGGTTTGGTTTGGTTTTCATTTATTTTACTAGCATAGATTTCATTTATTTTTAAAAAATATGCATTGCTAACTATTCATATGCGAAAATATTCGAGGTCCAAATGTAATACTGCTTTATCATCCCCCGGAAGAGTAAGGAGGAGGTGGGGCAGTTCCGGAAACAGAGTACAACCAAGGCTGTCGTCCGCCCAGAACGGAGCAGTGGGTCGGGTGAAGGAAGATACGCAGGGCCGATAGCCGACAGTAGAAAACAAAGGTGGAAACGATCAGGAGGCACATGAAAAAAGTGACACATCTTCTCATGGAGGCGCCCGCGAGGGCTGGAGCAATTCAGACAGCCACCAGCAATCGATCGACGTGCGCGCATCAGGCACGGCTATAACACGAGGCTAACTGTAAGACACACACCCTCGACGCTGACAGGAGACTTAGCAGTATGCTCTGATGATGAAAACGAGAAGTTTTTTGAAACGTTAGCCTAAATATAAGTTGGTCTCGGGAATCGCCCCTTCTTCCGGGGATGATGGAAACAATAGATAACTACTATTTTGAACTTGATTAATTTTTCGTTACCAGTTTATTATACCATACAAAGTAACCTTGGCTAAATCAAACAAACTTGCGTACATGAAATCTAAACCTTACCAATAAACTTAGTAAAATATTCTATTCGTTCCGTAAGACGGAATTCTGGGGTAAGGGCGACGAACTTTATTGTTACCCTCGGATGTTTTTGTACAAGATTTTAGGAAATTATTGACATCAATAGCATCACTTTAGAATAAGCGAACATTGACAGAGACTTGGATAAAGCGCATAAGGAATTACATTGCTTTTCGTATGCATTCCTTGAAACATTAGAATATACGCGGGTTGAATAACCCAATATATCCGAAATCGCTCTCTTTCTGAAAATATACAGAAGCACTACTGTGGCGAAGCAACGTGAGTGATACATGCCAATCAGTAAGGCCTGGGCAGTTTACGGTGACTTAACCAAATATCCTGATCTATCACAAAGATTACCGTTGGAGTCCGCTGCACACAAATCTCATTTTTCCCATTAATATTTCCAAATATTAGTATGGCTGCATTGCAGCATGTTGCCCTGCACCACCAAATAATACCTGTCATCTACAAACAGGCTGTACGTGTTTTGAATAGATTGCTTGTTTTAACACAACTAAGTATTTGTATATGGCTCATAACCGTTGAAGCGCAGTCGACGGTTTGCGCTAAATTTTGTTTTCCTCAAATATACTGAACTGAACTGAATGTGTAGCAATTTTTTGCAACAAAATATTTAGGTTATTTATATTTTCAAGTGGTGTTATAGAGCTAATCGCCATAATCATCATATTTACATTTATCACTAAACAATTTTTTTCATTGCCGAAAATGTTCACTTTTGGGCAGATAATTACGCTTGACGAATATGTGGAAAAGATTAGAAAGGTGCTTCCGACGAATTAGTCTTATTTATGAGCAGCATATTGGTGAGCGGTTAGCGCTGATTCCTCATATTTTCAAGCCAATTTTTTATGTTCCGTTACGGCATTAAAATATAGCTCCGTAAATTTAAAGCCCTGCTGGTAAGATGAATAAATTTATACTGAATAGGGGTACATGAAAGAAGGAATCATTTCTCAGTAATTGGACTAGATTTAATGTGCGCTTTAACATTCAGATAACGCATTTGTCAAAAATAACAATAACTGTGAAGGAGACAGAAAAGCCTTATTAAACAAATTGATCCGGTGCTCGACAAGTCTTCTTCCTTATTACTAAAACATCAAAAATGATCATTGTTTTTAAGTTGGGTGGGTTTTTATACATCCTACAACTGTCAGACAACACTGTCAATATTTGATGCTAGAAGAATGTTGATCTCAATTTAAAAAGCAGACATACTGCTGGCATAGTCCATCGTGCAATTTGTAGGTGTAGATCCGGCGT